ATTACCTTTAGAGGTGAAAATATTTAACTTTTCATTCTTTATTCACTCATAAATTAAATGAAGAAGCTGGCCTGGGCTAAATTTTAGTCCTGTCAGCAATTTCAGATCCTCTCCATTTCTGTAAGATCGTGGTGTCTGCTCACATTTAATAAGACCTAGGAATATCTACTTTGTGCCACAACGGAATCATTCACCCTGCAAAGCATTGTGTGGCTCTAATAGTTTCTTTTATGAGTCATATGTAATTCAGGTGAATAGAAAGGAATATTTACAATTACGAAGAAGGGGCAAGTGAAATAGACAACAGGATTTAGTGAAGAGATAAACTTTCCTACCCCTTAACTCAGGACTTTTGAAAAAAATTCTTAGGAGTACCAACCGAAAGAATGGAAAAGTATTAAGTAGGCATAGTTCCCTGTTACTGTGTTCTTTGCAGTTTGTCACAGAAACAACTCATATATTCTGTGTGAGTCAGGAACAAACTTCCACTGGATTTCTAGGAAGAGCCTGATACTTTTTCCTGCCCAAGCAAATATCAATCTCATAGTTTGGGGGTTTTGTTTGTTTTTGTTTGGTTTGGTTTGGAGTTTTGTTTGTTTTGGGTTTTTTTGATTTTTTTTTTTCTTTTGTTTTTGTTTTCTTTTTTTTTTTTTTTGTGTCTGTGGTTTGTTGTTGTTGTTTTTTGTTGTTTTTTTTTAGCTGATTAACTTTTGAGCTGTTATGCATTTTGTATTTTAAGACTTTCCTTGAGGATTAGCATCTGGTTTTGCTTGATATTTTTGGGGCATTGGTAAAAAGAAATTTTTATATGGTGACCATCATTCTTACTGTTATTTATGAAATTTCTTTGCTACCACAACAGAATCACTTCGTGCTTTGACAAGGAATCTTTTTACAGATGGAGTTGCAGACAGGCTAATTATAATTCCAGTAGCAAAGCCCTGGATCCAGACAATTTGCTATGCATGCTACATGGCTTTAGATCCTTAATAACTGCCTTTATAGAGTGGGATCTGTTCATTAAAAATCAACCATTTATCTTACCATATATTTTATATTAAATACCATGACAACCACAGGGGCTTTTTTCATTTTCTGTTGATAGATTTTATTAAAAAGTGACTCACTGTCACTAATGAATCCTTAATGCATCTGCTGAATGAGTTGAGGAGATTTAAAGTGTTTACTTTACTTTTATCATTTATTATATATTATGATCCACATTTGATGCTTACTTACTCATCTAAATGGAACTGAATGTGACAAATTTGATCTCTGATTCAATGCTTATGCTGCCTAGCTGACTAATTTTTCACAATGTGAAATGATCTGGGATTCTAGAAAGACCTGAGCAGGTAAAAAAGAAGTCAGAACTCACTCAGAATCGATGGACATATTCACTTCTGCCTAAGCAGGTGTCCTAGCTGGCACCACAGGCACAGGTCCCTGCCAGCTTAAGAGGTCTCATCCCATCGATCTGACTCCCTTCCTTACTTGCCTACCTTTGTGGATAAAAGCTGCCAAAAAGAATAGGGCTGAAAGTAGATATACCTTTTTGACAGTGTACTGTGGATGGGAGAACAAGTTGTCTACAAGTCCAAAGTACATTTTATTTTCCTTTTCTATTGGGAGAAGTAAAGACTGCTGTCCAGTCTTTCTTTTTGCTGTTTGTCTGTCTGCCAGACTAGGTCTAGGGAGAACAGGTTGCTGCTGCAGCTGAATCAGGTAGGTTTAGGCAAATAGGATTAAAGTAGTACAGAGTCAGGAAAGGTGGGAAAGCTGGGAGAGAAACTTAAATTGCTGAAACGGTAAATGCGGTTGACCACTCCCAAATTGTAATCAAACTGATGCAAGAAGTATGGAAACGGGCATGTTTGGAAACGGGGTAAAGGAGTTTTTGTCGCTGAGCAAAGTGCAGATGGGTGGCAGGAAATGGGGGAGTTTGGTGGGAAGAATGATGAGGGCTGAAAACTTACTTTTCAAAACATGGGTAAATGTGAGTATGAGTCATTGTCACACACCTTGCAGATTACCAGAGTAAGTTCAAGTGCTACTCATATTGTTCCAAATATGGGTTCTTTCACCTGCTTTACAAGAGCCAAACGGCACACAGAGTTGAGATATTTGATTTTATTTTGATTCTGCAAAACAGGTGCCAGGTATCTATCACAGCTGGTACACCTTTCAGGAAACAAGCACAGTCTTTTATACAAAGAGATAATAAAGAAAGAATGATGTAGAAACAGATGATTAGTCACTCACACTTATATAAAAACATTCTTAATGTACACGTGGAGGTCCAGTTCATTATACTATTATTTACATATACATATTTCCCTGGGGGTGTGTTTTTAGTCATTATAATCACCTAAGGTAACTTAAGGTTTTTTTCCCATCCTATCAGGTACCATCAAGTTATTATTTAACATTATTTTCTATTACAGTTTCTGCTTCAATCTGTTTGAACAATTAGTTGCCAGCGAAATAAGGATTTATGGTATTCTGCTTGTGAGTACTCTTCATTGCATTCTGTTGCTGGGTACTCTTCACTGCTCCATTGCTCTGGCACAGTGTTGCCATGGTTTCAAAACCAATCCATAGTTGCTGTGTACTCTTTTGTGGATTTTTAACCTCTTCTGATATCACAGATACACTACCGTTGCAAATACACAAATCTTTTAAAGAAGATTTATTTGTATTAACAGTGATTTTTACTCATCTGATTGAAAATTTTGTATCTTTAAGTTGGTAAGACTACTCACTAATTGTGGAGACTTTGAGTGACCTAAAAATACTTTTATTCTTAGGATGAAAAAAATCATCATTTTCATTTATCATATTATATGCTGAAAAATAGAAACTTTGCAATATGTTGATCAGAAATTAAAAAATCCCAGTTAACATAAAATTTCATTAGTAATGTTAAATTACACAAATCAATCTTATGAAACAACCACCAAGCCCTAGTTGTGATTACAAAATTAATTTGGGTTTTTTTTTTCGTTTTCTCTTTTCACATTTGAACAATAGTAGCTAGGATACTGAGTGAAACTCAGTGAATTACGACTATGGAATTTATATATTCAAAGACAAGAAGCGTTCAGTTCGGTACTTTCTTTTAGGAGAAAGAAGAGATAGTTAGAAGATAAGTTTTGCTAGTGCCTTATTTGATCATGGCCATGATTCCCTATTGTTTTTCAAGGAAACATGTAAAACAAAGACCTTAGTAGGTTACTGTTAAAATGAAACATTTAGCATATCTATAAATATACTGTCTTATTAAACCCATAGAGTTTATTTAACACAGTTCACAGAAGGCGAAAAAACTGAATTCACAGTGTCTCGAAAAAACTCATAGTGCAGAGAGATGAGTAGACAGTGATAAGACTCGAAGAAGGTATTTTCTCATACACTTCAAAGCCTGAAGTCTGAGATGGCTTCAGTCTCAAATCACTACCTGCTCTCACTGCCTGTCAGAATAGACTGACTTGGAGTGTACTGGGAAAAATGATCTGCTTCATTACCGTTTTCATTCCACTGCACTGAGAAACACTGTTAGTAGAAAAGCTACTTATATGGGAACCTTCTTAAAAAAATCACTTCAATAGAAAATAAATTATTCCCACCAGTTCAGTGACCTAATATTTTAAAGAAAGGGGCTACACTATTACATATCACAGCCATCCTGAAAAGCTACATGTAGATGTTTGATTTTGGCAGACCACCATTCCTGCAGTCATTTATCAATATTCATTTTGAGCTGAACTGAGCTTTGTAAAATCCTTAAGCAAGTGTGCAGCAGCTGATTGTATAGGAGGTAAAACTAGGCTAGTATGTGTAGACCAGGCAGAATGTTGTCCCATGTTTTTGAAGAGTGGGAAGCTGATTCATGCTGGTGGCTGGCTGAACAAAAGCTCCATTCCACTTCTTCCAGGCTCAAGATTCACTTTTGGTAGGAGACAGAGATAGCATGTAACTTGCACACTGTTTTGGGAAATATTTAGCACAGAACTGCAGAATGGTTAAGGTTGAAATGGACCACAGTGGGTCATCTGGTCCAACCCCCCTGCTCAAGTACGGTCATGCTACAGCACATTGCACAGGATTGTATCCAGACAGTTCTTGAATGTCTCCAGTGAGGGAGACTCCACAACCTCTCTCAGCAACCTGTTCCAGTGCACAGTAACCTGCACAGTAAAGAAATTCTTCCTCAGGTGGAACTTCTTGGTCATCAATTTCTTCCTGTTTCCTCTTGTCCTATTGTCCTGCTGCTTGACCTTCATTCAGTCCAGGGGTGTTTCCGTAGAGAAGAAAGGGCATTCTTTTCAGGCCCTACCAGTTTAGATCCAAGTGCCAGGGTCTCTTTACCTGGGCCTGTATTCTTTTTTTGACTTTCACCAAATAGTCTTCCTTCTAGAGTCTCTTATATGCTCATAAATTACTGGGGGAGGAAGGCTCTACCTCAAAGCATCTTTATCACAGTTAAGTAAAATCTAGACTTTTGTTTTGTTCTTTCAACTTGAGATGTTGAGAAACAAAAACTGGTTTTTGTCTAAAATCATCGAAAAATGATTCTGTTTTCTAACAGGTTGAGGTATAGGCTGCATGCTCAAGGTAGTTCTGAAAGCCTGAGATATTCTAGTTTGAGAAATACGTTAAAGTATAATTAAAGAGAAGGCTGTAAATTGCTTAAATGATATTATTTAGAGGTTTGTTTTATTTCAGTTCAAACCAGTAATGGCAGTTAGTGGGACTCTACATAACAACAAGAATCCAGCAGTTTAAGTGATAAAGATTCAGATGAAGCGCCATAACCATGCTGAGCACCAGCATAACTATCCTCGAACTAACCTTTATCTTAATCTAGAAATGTAGGAACAGTAGAATTCCCTACCTGGTCTTCTAACGAGCATTTAACTATCTAAAGACACCCTGCAGGGCATAACTTTTTATTCCATAAATCATCCAGTAAGCACTTGATAATGTTAATTTGCAGGCATGGCGCAAACTTAAAACAAAAGTATCTCTTACCTAATCTGCTTTCTCCTTACTGTAGCTCCCAGTAGTATAGTCAGCTGCAGAAAAAAAATTATTTTACTTAGTGGTGGACATTTGAAGAAATCTGTATATCATTTCTCATCCACTTCTAAATTTGCTCTGAAATAAAGTATATTTGATATTTAAGTTATTATTAATATACTAGTACTTTATGTATAATAACAGGAAAATAGGTCCTAATATATCATGGTGTAATATAAAACAGGCTTTTTTATAAATTATGAATTTTAAATCTAAGAAAAAAATTCCCTATAAAGTACATATTGATGTGACATTTCTATTTATTCTGTTCCCTTACCAAAGCATGTAATTTTGTGTGTTATAACATTTCATTACCTAATATTTCTAAAAGATTCTGAAGTTGAATGATGAAAGAATGAGTTCACATGAGTTATTACATTACTTCAGCATTTTATTGAAGGAAGAGTTTTTCTGAGCTATAGAAATTAAGAATTTTCTTTCTGTTGTACGTCTTCATCATAGAGATCCAGGTATATGGACTGTTATCACTCTATAGGTCTGTTATACTTCTCGTCCCTTAACAGTAGAACAAAGATTATTTTGATGTAATAAGGTCATAAAACTAGCAACAAATAGAGTAGACATTCCTGCTGAAAATGATTTATATTACATCTTTAATTTGGACAAGAGTTAGAGAAGCTGTAGACTTCACCAGCTCAGCGTCTGAACTTACTGCATTTTAGTGTCATGGCTCATGGCTGCCTACAGTCAGCATCAACTAATATTGCGGTCTTAAGGAATTTGAATAGTTTGCAAAGAGTTGCACAACCTGCAATATTTTCTGCTAAGTTTGACCATGAGTTTGCCTTTTTCATCTGTAATGTGGAGTGAAAATTATGCAGTTGCTAAAACTGTTCAAAATATTTGAATGTAATGTAAATAAAGACTTTTGAATGTTTGTGGAGGGAATAGTGAAACTATATGGATGGTTAAAGATGTGAATAAGAAACAGCTCAAAAGCTCAAATAATTTGAAATTTGAAAGTTCTCTAGACATCTAGTTACTTCAGTATATCTACTTGAATATATACAGAATTATGGTCTTATATGTCTATCCTGTCACATATATAATACTACTTCTACTATACAACTCAATACTCCTGCTGTACTATACAATACTACTAAAACAATACTGCTACTACTATTACCCCTGCTGCTGATACTTCTATAAATAGGTAATATTAATACTACTTCCCTACCACCAGGAATTTTTGGAGGCTAAATACTTTGTAGATTATGAAAGAAAAAGATACTGTGGGAGTAATGCAAATACAGATGACAAGTATCCCTGCTATATAAATGATAGAGTTTTGGGTATGTACTTCAAACATTTAGGTGTGTGTCACAAAATGCTTAAAGAGTAATGACAATTTTTTCATAATTTTTTCCTTTGGATTCTTGCAATATTTAAGAAATCAATTAAAAAAAAAGCAGAGAAAAAGAGTGGATATTTATAAAAATTTGGAGAAGTGGATGGCAAAAATCCCTGTGTACTATCTGAGATTTAACATCACTTCTTTTTTGCTGATTCCTAGTTTTCTGTACTTGAAATGTTGAATTGTACATATGTAAGTCTGTTATGCATATACACAAAGTATGTTTTGTACTGGAGAAGTAACACATACAGCTGAGGAGAAAAGAGGTTGACTTTGCTTTGCTTGGAAAGATTTTTTTATTGTATGATCTATGGCTCAGATAAACTTCCATCTCAATTCATCTTGTCTTTGATGAGGACTCAGAGATAATAAAAAATACACCATAATCATTAAGCTTTAGGAAAAGGTGCCATTGTCACTTAAATCTTATTAATAAAGCAAACATTGCTTTTCAGATTGCTGTGTTGTAGATCTTGCCTAGAATAAAGAGCCTCATGGACCCTTAACCTCAAGATGTATGAGGAGGTCAGACTGTGTTGAAATTCAGGCACTGATAAAATCATGTCTGGAATCTGTCACCCTAGTCTGTCTCCATATTGTGCAAGAGAAGAAAAATTGTTTTCAGTTCTGTAAGACACTGAGGCAACCACTCCTCCACCTCTGGATCTGTATCCACAAGAGAAGTTTATACACAGTTTGAAAACTCAGACATTTCCTGCAGACCTTCAAACTAGCATTTAGCTGTGTTCATTTCAGCAACTCCAGACAACTTTCTTAAAACTAAATGGTAGAAATAGTTACTTGGAAAGAGGAAACATGCCAGCCAGCTCTCCAAGGAGGGCTATTCTCACATATTTCTCCCCTACCAGAATATAATAATCCTGAGAGGCAGAGGAAGGAAGGTATTTAGAGAAGCAGAGGAAAAGGAAAAGAAAGAAATCAGGACAGGAGAACGAGTACAGTCTTTGGGTCTCATGCCTTGTCTCCAGAATTAGAGTACATCTAACCTTCAGAATTCCTGATCTTCAGCAGCAGAATGAACATTTCTCTTTACTCCCAGAAATGCACTTCTTAATATCTTCTCCTCTGAAAGAAAAAAATTAAATAAATTGTGTAAATGAGGAATTGAGAACAGTGAGTGCATGAAAGTACAAAAAGAGGTAAAACCATTGCCACAGTTCTCCTTTAGAGAAGCAGTCTGTTCAAATTTAAACTAGTGCATCTATGATAAATGGAAGAGTAATTTCTATTTTAGTAAACATGAGAAATATTTTATGTACAATATAAATAAATATCATGCGGAGAATTGCTATGATAATTAACAATCAAATTGTCAGAGATGAGTATACATTGGACATTATCCTTGAATATCCATATAATAATACAGAAAATTTTCTTTAAAGTATTTCCTGAGCAACTGCACCAAAACTGTTTCTTTACACTCCCAACTCAAACAATCAGAGAAAATTTTGCATTTTGGAATTTATGATGTAGTCAATATGTGATGGAATAAGCAATCACTTGCCTATAATACCCATCTTTGCTGTGAATTGTAGTAGCACATACCTTAAATGAAAATGAAGCATACCATTGAATAAAGCATGTAAAAAAATCTGTTTAACTGTGTACAGACTTTCAATGCACTGGCTCATGATATATCAGGCTATTTTTCTCAGTAAAGTTCTTCTTGCAATATCATCTTCATCAATTGAGGCAGGAAACAACGTGGAGAGAATTGATGTGGTTACATATTTGTGACTTGGTTTCGGCAGGTGATTCTAGAATAAGTTTTGCTTAGTTTAGCATATCTATTTGCATTCAAATTTAACAGTCAGTAAACACGTATTTTCTCTTGCAGAAGTGACAAAAGTATCTCCTGCGTATGATGGTTGACATTTCAGTAGACGGTTAGAATTTAGTTTCTATTAAAAATGATACATTGTTAATCTCAGAATTTGTTTCTAACACACATATTCAGGTTTTACAGACCTCCAGTAAAGTAGTAAAATAGGACTCTTAGCTTTTGCTTTGCACTTCAATTATCTGTATTGTGTTACTGTATTATTTGTGTCTTGTGCTTCCACTCAATATTTGCAGGAGGTAAATCAGGGAAAATATTTCTTAGCAAAAGACTAATGCTGATGCATTTACTTCCTCCTAAAGAAAACATACTGAATTATATAGCAGCAACTTTGTTCTCAGCAATTCACAATTGCTTTGGGTCATTGGTTCATTTTTCTCAAAGCTAAGAATTTGAAGAGGACATAAGGTTTAAATATCTGTTTCTAGCTCTTAGCTACATTTTAATTACACTACCCTGCCTTTTCACCTATTATGAATTCACTGTGAAAGTATTCCCCATATTCACAACACTTTCCAGTTGCACAGTGGTGTACTGCAGTGCTGCCAGGGTGATTGCATTGTAAGGCTCAGAGTTGGAGTAGGCTGGGGCATAGCTCAGGTAATAGTAGAGCAGTCAGTCAAGAAGTGATATACCTTCTAACATTTCTTCTGATGATGAGTAAAGAGATAATTTCTGCATTTGTATCCCTTTAATAATTTCCCAAGTTATGAGCATATTTTATTATTCATTGGTATGTTTTGAGAAGTACATGAATTCTGTTGAATTCACCCATAGAGGAATTGATTTGCCATTACACACAATTCCGTTTTAAATGGAGTTTAAAAATTTACTAAGAGCATTCTGTTTTCAAAAATGCAAAGTTCAAGGATCCATTGTAGAAGAACTTAGAGAAGACACTTAACAGAAAGATAATCCTACTGTGAAGAATTCATAATTTGAGATCAAATCAGGGAAAGAAACGGTGTAGGACGCATGGGGTAACAGAGAGAATCATGAGGAAATGGCCTCAACTGTGCCAGGGGAGGTTCAGGAGGACATCAGGAGGTATTTCTTCACTGTAAGGGTTGTCAAGCATTGGAATAGGTTGTCCAGGGAAGTTTTGGGGTCACCATCACTGGAGGTGTTCAAGAAATGACTGGATGTGGCACTTACTGCTATGGTTTAGTTGACATGGTGGTGTTCTTTCAAAGGTGGGACTCGATGATCTTGGAGGTCTTTTCCAACCTTAATGATTCCATAATTCTATGATTTTATGTTCAACAGTGTTGTAAACCAAAGACGAATTCATGTCTGGTCTTTTAGGCTGACCCTGACAGGGGCCCATCAAAGCCCTTTTATCACTCACCTGCTCAACTTGGCAGGGTAGAGAAACTGTAGCAAAAGGCGGGTGGGTCGAGGTAAGGACAGAAAGATTACTCAGCAACTATCATCATGGGCAAAACAGACTAAACCTGGGGAAATTAATTGAATTTATTACCAACCAAAATCTGAGTATGATAACGAGAAAAACTAAATCTTAAAAACTCCTTCAACCCAACACTCTGTCCTTCCCTATTCCTGTTTCTCTACCTTCTGCCCTCCAGTGGTGCAGTGGGATGGGGAATGGGCATTATAGTCAGTTCATCACATGTTGGTTTTGCCACTGCTTCCTCCTTGGGTGAAGTCGTCCTTCTCCTGCTCCAATGTGGCATTCCTCCCATGGGAGATAGTATGCCACAAACTTCTCCAATGAGTCCTTTCCATGGGGTGCAGTCCATCAAGAACAGGCTGCTCCAGCATGGGTCCCCTGAGGGGTCAAAAGTCCTGCCAGCAAACCTGCTCTCGTGTATCATCTTTTCTCCACAGGTCCACAGATCCTGACAAGAGCCTCCTCCAGTGTGGGCTTCCCACAGGGTCACAGTATTCTTCCAGGCATCCACCTGCTCCAGTGTGGGGTCCTTCAGGGTCTGTAGGTGGATCTCTGCTCCAGTGTGGACCTCTATGATCTGCTGTGGGACAGCTGCCTCACCATGGTCTACACCACAGGCTGCAGGAGAATGTCTGCTCCAGCACCTGGAGCACCTCCTCCCCCCTCTACTTCACTGACCTTGGTGTCTGCAGGGTGTTTGGCTCACATATTTTCTCTACTCTGGCTGCCATTTGCTTCTGCTCAGTAATGTTTTCCCCTTCTTAAATATGTTATTGCACAGGTGCTACCACTGTCACTGATGGGCTCAGGCTTGCCCAGTAACAGGTCCTTCTTGGAGTCATCTGACACTGGATTTATTGGATATAGGGGAAACTTTCAGTGGTTTCTCACAGAAGCCACCCCTGAAATGCCCCCACCCTACATCATCCCGCAGCTACTGAAACTTTGCCACATAAACCTGACACACCTGGAGAAAAAGCAAGTCAAATAGTGGAAGATATATTTCTGTCACATAAATGTGTACATACACAACTTCAGTAAGAATACCTTGAATTCAAGATTTGCGCTATATACATTCTCATCTTGACTTTCTAACTATATTTTTGTCTTCTTTTCTTTTATTTTGGCCCCAAAGGAGAGGTTTGAAAAGAACAGGCAGTAAACTGCTTCCTTTATAATTCTGGACTCTAATAGAAGTGTCAATTGAAGGTGATGGGAAGATATTACACTCTCATAGTATAAGCCACAAGAAGCATTTTACAGCAAACCATTAGTCAGATAGAAGGCGACCATGGAGATATTTAGCTTTGCTTAACTTATTGTCATGCATCCTCACACACATAGCATGCCTTCCTAAAACATAATTATGAACATTAATAAGCAATAATATAAGTTAATTGTATGTGTCCAGCCATGATTCCAACACTCCTGGAACTGTGACAGTGTGAACCTTCAGGGTTAGGAAAAGGCAATGATATTAACAGTGCTACGAATTCCCCCAAAATAGACTGGTTTTTTGAGGGTGGGGCCTTTGCTGAGAATTTAACTGGAACATGTAAAAAATATGCCTGACTCTATCAGTGATGTTCATCCCAGCAACCAAGAGCAACTAAAACATGACTCTTGGTGTCTGTAGGAGGGATAGGCACTTCCAAGCAGAGGTTAATCACATTTTAAGATAGCTAATTAATCTATGAAATGAATCACCCTTAAAAAAGGCTAAAAATAAGAGAATGAGATAAATTACTCGATTAAGACCATGTGCATTACCTCAGAAAAAACACAGTGGGATTTGATGCTAAATGTAAAAAAAAGCAGAAGCAATAAATTGTTTATGTTTAGAAAGATTATAAACATTTGTCAGTATCCTAACATTTTCTGTTCCAAATCTTAATTTTATTTTCATTTATGCTAATGTATTGTACTTAACTTTAATGGGAAAAAAATGTTCAACAGCAAAATATAAATTAAATACACTTATTTTATGTTCAGTGGGGCCCAGTGTATCAGCATTCTGTACACTAATATAATTGAACATGAAGTGCTTACTCACCCAACTGATGTTAGATATCAGTAGGACCACTTTCGTCACTAAATGTTGATGGATTTGGCTTGAATTTCTTTGAAATATGTTTACTTCATTTATCACCACTTTTTCAGGCCTCTATAAAATTATCGAAGGAAAACCAAAATAAAGGAGTACTTTAATTACAATGTTTCCTCAGTGGTAAATCCCTTGTCTCAGTAAAACTCATTTCAGTGTTTTTCTCACCTGTCCAATATATTTTACTGCACAAAGATTTCCCAAAAGCCACTAGAACTTTGACAATAATGTTTGACAAGACAAAGTGAAAAAAAGTGTTCACATTGAAGTGCATGATGCAGCAAGAGAGAGCTGCTGATTCATCTCCCTTGTTGTGAACTATATTATTGGCAGCTGTATTAGGAAAGTCACCTCTATCTTGCTGTACCACCAGTACAGTTTCCATTCCTCACCAAATGAAGATACCAGTATCTTTTTTTTTTTTTAACCCAGGGTGAATCCTGCATTTGGCCTATCAGCTTCATTGCATCTTAATAAAAAAAAAAATTCATTTTTTCATAAAACTTTTTAATTTTAATTGAATTTTTTTCCACTTGGGTTATCTTGCTTTTTTGTTCCATTTCAAGAAATATGTTCATTTCGCGTGTCCTGAAAATAGAGTGTCTTCCTTATTTTAATAACTAATCTTTACAGTTTTTCTTTATTCATGCTATTTGAATAAATATTTCCAACCTCAAGATGATAAATGTTGCTATAAAGGGGGAGCAAATTGCATCCCCATCCACCAAATAATACCGCTAATAATCTCAGCAGCTATCCACATGATTTAAAGGTCCAAAAAGCCAATGAAGACTTTATTTACATCCAGAAAGTGCTAAATCAAGATTTACCTTTAGCATTTATCATGAAAGAAACCACACAAGAGGAACTGACTGCAACGCTTGGCATAAAAATTCAGCTTCTTGAATATAAAGCTAGTGAATGTTCTGGAGGATTGCACAGACCACTCTATAATGTAACTACATTACGAAATAGTCACAATAGTGAGGCAAGATACACACAATGGCCAGGAATAATGCCAGAAGCTGAGCAAGCAAAGCTGAGTTTTGCCTATGTTGTCCCAATACTCTCTTCCTTGTCGGTAATGTTCAGGCTCAAGCTGTTTCATTTAATCTGACCATGTACAGTGGCTCCTCAGGCTCTTATTCAGAAGAATATACATGCTGGATCACCTGTGAAAGGAAGGTAGCCTGTATATGGTCACCAGGGAATTGAAGACAACACACGGTCAAACTTTTTCTCCGCTTCTTTTTCTAAAGGTTGCTATCATCTATCCCTTCAGAAGAGTTCAGGGTTTCAGAACATGCTTGAAATCTTTGATCCATGCTTTGTCACAGTGTTCCAGGCAAGCGTCTCATTTAGGAAGGTGGATGGTGTAAGAAGAAATTGTTTAATTTTGTCTCACAAAAATAGACTGCCTCATAGCCTGACCAGATGAACATTCTCTTGGGTTATCACTTAAGTAACCAAAGGAACGCAAACTTTCATGATTATGAAAATCAGAATGAATCTCAGTGATTTGCCTACCTCAGAAACTCTTTATCTCTAAAACAGAACCAACTTATGTTTTGATCAGGAAGAATGCTGTAACCTTTACTTTTATGAATAGTGAATACAAGATATTCTGAGTTACTATAATTTCTCTCATGCAGAATCCTATTTAAATTCAGTTCCACAAATCAATTAATTTTAATGTCTTTTTCACCCTCTTGGGTTGAAATAAACCAGGGATATCTCTTTTGCCATTAATATATCAAGTATCAGGTCCTATAAATTACCAAAAATAGTTTTCTACTAATTTTCTCTTCTGATTTAAAAAATCATAAGTTTGAAACTTGTGAATGTTAAGTATTGGTAATGTTCTTTCTTAATTAAAATATTCACTTTGAAATCATCCTCAGACAGAAAAGTAGGCAAAACCCAAAGGAATAATCTGAATGTTATAGATTGCACTTTATAAATCAATCAGAGATAAAAATTGTGCTTTATACCATGAATAAGTTATTTTAATACAAAGTTTCAAGAATAAAGTTTGCATACTCCTTGAAGAATTTATCCTTATATCAAGGAGTCTATGGTACTGTGATGTTGCAAAGACAGTAAAGCCTGCAGAACTTCTTTGTAGGAATGAAATTGCACAAAATTAGAATTCTAATGTCATCTTGTTTGAATCCTTATTTTTTCTAAAGAATGACACACACCCAATTTTATATTCAGGCGATAAGATTAAAAAAAAAGGAAAGAAAAAGAAAAAATTAAAAAGAAAAGAAAAATTGAAAAAGAAAAGAAAAATAGAAAAAGAAAATTAATTTTTAAGCGGAAGAACATAGCCTTATGTCACCACATTCTGATGATGGGTGTGGGGTACCTATAATTAACATTCCTGAAAGTTTTTGATACTATAAGCATGTGAAATACAATGAAATGAAAGGCACAAGTAACAACAGCCACACTGACAACATTACACAACACAGCAGCAGCCCAGCAGCAGGGGTACTAGGATGAGTCTGCCTCTCAGTCCTGAAGTTTTCTTAGGAGGTTTGTTTTCTGACAGTGTAGAGTTCAGAGCTGTCCAGTCATATCATAGAATTAGATTATACTACACATTAATTAAAGCTCATCTGTTTGCATACTCAGTGATCTTGCCTTAAGTCTAACAGCTCGTACTTTAAGCCTTAGTAGAACAATCCTGCTTCATCTGTGGCTTCACCAGGGTGTTTCCTAGGCACAGGTTTTATTTGTTACTCTTTTATGAGATATGGTTCCTGGTATACAAATCTCTTTGGAACTGATACCTGGTATAAGGAAGGGCAATAGGTCTGGGGGTGCTATTTATGTAAATTGTACCTATGTTTCTAGAAAGAGTTAAGACCAGAGTTATAATTTGCTCTAATGTGATGACCCAGCACCAATCTGCTGCCTAGCTTGGTGAAATGTGATTTGGGTATGACAGTGAAAACAAAGTCACAAATGCTGGACCCCAACAACAGGTGTAACAGATAGTCATTGTATAACAGACATTGAAGGTACAGGTGCACACTATAGTTCGGCTCAAAACCACTGCTCAATGGATTACTCAGCCACCAAAACCCTCACAGCAAAGACAAGTCAAAGCGTTGACATGGATGCTGCATGCCTTTATAACTTCTGTCACTTTCAGAAAGACTTTGAGAAAAATTGTGGGTTTTTCTTTTCCGTGTTAGGAAAATCCCTGTGGAAAGTCAGACATGCAAAACAACTTACTCTAGGCTTACACTATCAACCACTGTTCATTCTGTCTCCTGAGGAGATCCTTAAGGCCATCATAATCTCCTCAACACCTCCTCCTAGCAAACCTGCATTCTTCACAAAGGGTACTGGACCAGCAAGTTGACCAACACAACACATAATCCCTGCAGACACTCACATGTGCAGACAGTGATGATGCATGACCTGCTTGATGAGCTGTTTGCTCAGACACTCTCCTTGTAAATGCATCCAGCACCACTGATGTGAAGGTATCTTGTGCACACAGCATGGTACAGTCCAGCCCTGAAAAACAAGGATGTGAAGACAGGAGACAGAGGAGGAAAACATAGCACTGAAAACATCCTGGGTATTTGGTATGATGAATGTGCTCACATCCCAACCCCCTTTCATCCTCTCTCAACTCTGCACTGCAAAAAGCTGGACAGAAATGCTGGCAGATGTCTTCTGCATTTACATCCCTAAGAATATAAATAGCTTGTACACCTTGGTGGAGGATACCCATGGATCCATGCACATGTCTTTCACTATGCTCTCACCTTATTGATTCCAGCATTTACACCCAAGGAGATCTTATCCTGGAACAACGGCATAGGGAAGTATTTCTCATCATCCTCATCCTTCAAGGATTTAGTCATGGGAAAGTGCATGTGCACAGGAAAAGGTTCAGGGCCATAGAAAACAGATATTGAAGCTCAGAAATTATCTCGACCCATTGTTTTTCTTCCTCAGATCCCTACCCTCAAAGCCTAGGCATGTAAGAAGCACGATTGCTACAAAGCACCCCACCCTCTCACAGTTTGACACACTTGGCTCTACTGCAGCCTTGCCCCATGAGTACACACTGCACAGCACTGAGCTCCCTTCTCCCCAGGCCAGACTGAGAAATGCTGTGAACTCAGACAGCATCCTGCCTGAACACTCTGAACAGGCTATTCATTTGAGTCTCCTGCTAGGAATGGGTCCTCACCTGCCACCAGAAAGCTAGGAAAAGCCATGGTGGGTGGCTGGCTGTAGCCCCTTTTCCCCTCAATAGGCGGCCTTCTTGTCATGATGTATACTGAGAAGAAAAAGTTACTTCTTTTTATATCAACAGATGGAACTTACAAACGTTTTAATAAGAAAGACTGCATAAACAGTGATTAGTCAGAGTACATGCATATGTTGAGGTCAGATGGTGTTAGCTCTGAAAGTTTCATAATAGGACAATAATTTCTTTAAAACATTTGGCATTTTACTAAACAAAACTGCAAATGCATGACAGAGAAGGATAGCAAGAAACAACTAGTAAAAAAAGTGAGTACTGGAAAGTAAACCAAACTGGATCAAACAACAAAGAGAAACAGCAGGAACTGTCACAATTGTAAGACATAACCGCTGCCTTGCTTCAATAAGCCTACTCCATTCTTTTGTTCAAAAAACAGTAATATTCTTTGCAACACAGAAGAATGACCAAAAGTAGATGTTTTACAAAATAAACATGCAAAATCCACATGAAAAAACTAAGAAACTATGACCTTACTTGAATAATATATAGAATATTTGCTCATAGACCCTTATTGAAAGGTATTCTGAAAACACAGGCAACGAATTTGAACATTGCAAATGTAGATACATACCAAATAATCTATGTCTATGTATAAAAAATTATTAAAACTCCCTTAAATTTGTGCCGTGATTTACAACTGCTGAAGCAGAAAGTCACTCCTGAGAAGATGACTA